TATTATCATTAACAAAAATTATCGTCGTCTCACGGAACATAACACTTTCTTTCGCGTCGTAAACGGTCGAAGAAACTCCGCCATACATCTCCAAGGACCTCCATGTTTTAGGTTGAAGATCCTCGTCACTAGGAAAATGTTCGACGTCCTGTCAACAAGCAAAAATAAAGGAGGAGCGGAGGTCGCAATGGCCGGAATAGGGACAGAGGCAGAAGTAGCGGCAACTGGAATTATTACAAAGGCAAAAGTGGTAATAGTTGGGACAAGGGCGCAGATTGAAGGCGTAGTGGCCCACCTCTTCCGGAATGAGGGTATGGGAGCCATCGACCCCTCTAACCGAACCTAGAGAAACATTAAGAAGGAAGGGATTAGTATAAAGGACGGACATAGACCACAAAAATATAGCGTCGATGATAGGGAAGAGATTACCTGTCGAGGGGAGAGCCGGCCTAAATTTTTGGAAAACAAATCGACCACCACGTATCCCCTCCGTATAGGGAAGGATCTGTCTGACCCAGTCGGTAATATGTGCCACCAACTGGAGAGGTCATATAGTAGCTGCAAAAAAAAAAGAGCTGATTGACCAACCCACAGCAAAAAAAATGTTTAAAAAAACACAAACAACATGAGCACTTACGGGGTGTGGTTCTGGGCCTCAGGGAAGTCGGCGTCAACAGACACTACGACCTCGGTCCTAATGAAGAAATAATCAAGCCAGAAGTGCCGACTACCCTTGTCGTCCATCCTCACCACCAAGCATTTCCTCCCACGATGGTGAAGATTCAAAAATGTCCCTCGATAGAAATGGTGAGGCGAAAAGGGTGCACCAAGTGGCGTACCATGATCTCGACCTCGGCCATTCGACGAACTTTGCCAACATTCTGACCACCTTGAAGACGTAGGGGGCAAGATGCACGGGGCACATGATAATCGTAAAGGGCACAGAATCTGGGATGATGGACCCGCACTTCATCATCACCCGCAGGGGCCAACTCCACGTGAACAGGAAGGTCGAACTTAGCTTTAAATTCAACTAAACATTTGGCCGTCATTGTAGATCGAAACCTCTCAGTCACCACTTTCAGTGCCTAATGGAAATCGGGTTTGGCATCGGGGTACCGATGTATAATCTCCTCCACAGTAGGGAAGGTTTCCTCCTCAGCAACGACTGCAACATCTTCCTTTGATTAGGGAATATGACGTCCAAAGGGATAGAGTGATATTCCATATTGGCATCACATGAGAGGTTCGACATTGTTATAAAGGAAAATGAAGAAGTAGAGAAAACAACATAAAGGCGGTAAAATCTTACGAAGGAGGCAAAGAAATTTTGCTTGAGAAGTAGAAAGAGTGTAAAAACTTCAAACTCAACAAGTCCTCCCCTATTTATAAGGTTTGGGGCACTAGAATCGAAACGGCTGGTCATGATTAGCACAAAGATCGAAATGGCAGAACCAATCAAGGGTCACACGAGAATTAATGTAATGCATCGAGAATCAGCGTTCCAGCAAATCACCCGAGAAAATCAAAGGTTTGAAATATGCGCCCAACAGAAAGCCACGTCACCAACGACCTACAAAGATTATGACCCATATTATCTGTTCCACAAGCTCGACCAGGAACGACATTATCCGCTCATTGAGCTCGCCTGCGAGGACGACCTCAACGAGCGGAGAGATTATGACCCATATTATCTGCTCGACAAGCTCGACCAGGAACGACATTATCCACTCATTGAGCTCGCCTGCGAGGACGACCTTAACGAGTGGAGGGACTAACTGTATAGGCCAAAATTAACTTAGTTATGTTTAGACCATATCAACATTAATAGGTCCTTCAAGAGCTTCCGTGTATCCTCAGTATGACTTCTAAAAGAGGCGAAATCAAGGTCGAAGTGATCTACCAAGAGACGAAGGACTTGGTCGAGGAGTCATCACAGGTCAAGGCCGAGGACGAGCACTCTTCTTAAAAAGGAATAATAACGGCTAGTTTTAGATAAGACTTTAGAGGGAATATTCCTATGAATATTCTCTGAATCTATACTATTAGAGTTTTTAGACATATGTTCCCTTATATATAAAAAGAGACAGAATGATGGGGGACATAAGATATTCACTTGTAAAAGAACATATTGACTTTCTATGTAGAACCTTGCTTTATTGTACACATACAAAATATACTTTTCTCTTAAGCTTCTTGCCTAACACGATCCAAGAACAATCTGAATATTCAAAGGCTCATCAATTATTCATCATTATCATAAAGAATATCCACGGATCTCACCTTTTTCGGGTGACACACATATTCTTATTTATTTAAATGTCATTTATTGTTATTTATTATTATTTAATGCTAACCCTTTCCTTTTTGGGTAATTGAATATTGCTAGTTTTATCAACATTTATTGCTACTTAGATAACATACGTACTATATTACTACAAAATCAGTTAATATACCTTTGGGATATTAATATTGGCTAAGATTGATTATATTTTATTAAATCTAATTGTCTAAATCCATATCCAAATTTTGGGTCAAACAATGTATATGGATCTTTAAAAATAGACTAAACCGACCTAATCGAACCATACCATACTAATTATTAAGTTTCCTTTGACAAATCCGTAGGTTTTATTATGTAAATTTATAACAATACCAAATAATTAGGTAAGTTTTTAATTTATTAAAGTAAACGAATATTACCAAGCCGTACCGAATAAATTTTTGTATGAAAATATATTTGATATTTAAGTTCAAAAATAACAAAGTATTAAATTATTTTCCTTAAGCTCTGGGATTATTGGAAATGGCCACAAGCCAATAGGTAATTAACACCTACAGTCCAAACTTCCAAGCCTATTTTGTTATTCCTATTGAAACTAATAAATTAGTTCCAATATCTTGAGTAGTAAGCCGCAAGGTATTTCAGCAATCTTGAGTAGCAAGCTCATGATGTTAGATATCTCTTCTCTAGTATGATTTAGATTTTTTCTTGTTAGATACTTAATCTTCTAATAGACTCTATTCTTGAGTTTCAACTTGATTAATATCTTATCATTCATTTAATTTATAATGTTTTTGTCTTTGTTTATTTTGTTTAAGCTGCTGTTGAATAGTGGGATGGACCCAAATTTATTCTGGCCATCTTTCAAATTTACTTGTTTCATCACCTTTTAAACGTAAAAATGTCTAGAGAGTTCTGCCATGCAAAGTATGCATTTTATTGCGTCTAACTTTTATTATTGACTCTTACATGACGCTTTATTGTATCAATACAGAAGAGAAACCGAAATGACTGGGATGGTTTTGAAAAAATATAATTTTTGTTAGACAAAATAAAGTAACCGAAAAATTGTACGATATAAATTTTATAAAATAACCGACAGAATCAAACCATTAACATCCCCTACCATGGGGGCAAGCGAGGGGAACACTTGTCAAATTTGAAGTTCTGCCATGAGGTAATCGCGAACAAAAATCCAAAATTATCTATTTTTGAAGACTATTTGTACACTTTACCCCAAAGTTAAGTGCATGAGATGATGAGAATGTGCTTTTTTCCTGTTATTTATTAATTCTCCCCCGAGTGTGTAAATTGCCGTCTCCGTCATCTGTAATAATTCCTTATTTCTCTTATTTTCCTTTCTTTCTTTTCTTTGTTTGTCAGAAGTAATTATAATTTGTTTCCTTTACCTTTCTAATTCAATGTTATGTTTAATGTCTTACCTAAACTTCAAAAAATTATAAAGATCAGATAGATAACCGTATTTACATGGAACAGGAAAGGTGCCTAATTCTAATTTCAACCTTGCTATTGTACTGCTCAGTGTTATACTGGAAAACATTCAAAAAAATTTTGCAACGCCTTGGTTTGAGATTAGAGACAAACACCAACGGCCAAGACACTCAATTAGAAATTAGAATACTCCCTAAATCGCAGTACACTAACAAGGTTGCCCCCTCCGTGATAGCAAAGTTGTAATGTTCTGAGAACAGCTCGGTGCACAAGGCATCCAGCGGCACGTAGGGTACAGGGAAGGGTCGCACCACAAAGGGTATGATATATACAATCTAACCTAATGCAAGTATTAGTGACTGCTTCCACGGCTCGAACCCGTGACCTATAGGTTAGACGAAGACAACTTTACCGTTGCTCCAAGATTCCCCTTCTAAAGTTGTAATGTTCTATGGACAAAATATGATCGATAATTTTCCTGCACCTTATCCTTTCCTCCGGTTATAATTAAACAAGCGCTTGCCCTGTGCAGCAAGTCTCTATTGGGATGTATTCCCAAACATGCTGATTAATCACATTTTCTTACATTCTAACAAATACAATTATACAAATAAAGCTGTGATATTACAGCCACTCATGCTCCCTCTGATCCAAGCTCTGTCGAGCTCCATATACAAACCTCTAAATCTAGCTGCCCAGATGAACCCAGATGAGCAAAAGGAATCAGAAGGAAATCCATTGGAGGTAAACCTTCAATCCTACCTGGAAGACTACGAGTGAATGATTTCAATCTCAGAGAGCTGCTTCCTCTTTCTGATACAACATCATACAAGAAGCATTCCTTTGATGAGCTTGGACCAATACAAGTAATCACAATCGTATGCCCTATACTTTGTGTTCCCTTAGTAAGAAGAAAGAGGACCCCATCCTTTGCTGCTTGTAAAACAAGGAAAGTTTCTTTCTTGCTCAACGAGACACGCAATGGGCAATCATACTTGAAGCGTCTCCCAGAATCCCAGTGCTTACTGGTAAAATGTATTGAGAGTAAATTGGGGGAATCAACAACATTACAGTTCTGGAGAGGGCACGGGCATGGTGCATAGGGGCAGGCCTCCTCATGATCTCTTTTATTTGTGTAATCAACAGTTTCTGTGCATCCATAGTTCATATTTGCACAAGGTACTGGGCCTGAATCAGCAACTACATTAACCTCCGCACAGACGTCATTCCTCTGGATGCTATATGTGTGCGCATGTTCCTGAAGATCGGCAAATCCATTTTGATCAACAATGTCAAGAGAATATTTCAAATAACGTATATCATGCAAACTGATTTTAGTGAAAAAGCAAGAGAGACCAAGAGAGAGAGATGACTGTGAAAGCCTCTTAGGCTCAGAGATCCTCAAAAGTAAATTTACCCTAACTCGTTACCAAGTTCCCGGAAATATGAGCATATAAAAACATAACACCACCATTCATTATCAGGCTCTGAAGAAAAAGAAATTCCATGATTTTGTCGTCCCTAACTCGTTACCACCAGCCAATGGGGCACGATTCGAAACAAGGTGGATGATGGGACCACCCCTCTACCCTACTCCACTTAAATTCCATGATTTTGTCGTCCCTCAGGGATTTCTCGGAGGATCCCCTTTATCCTTCCCACTTAAATTGCAGGCTTTTGTCTCCAGTAAGGTTCGAACTCGTGACGTGCGTCTAACCCATACATCATGCGTTCGAGCTTTTACCACTAGATCAAAGCCCTGGGGGCTGAAAACTGTAAATGTCTAGATCTATAAAGGGCTCTGAGATTTGAAACATGATATTACAACATTGAAGTTCTTATCGAAAAAGATAATACAACGTCAAACCGTCTTAATCTAACCATGAAATATAGTAGCAGAAAAGACAACTTTCGCACTTCCACATAGACATCAATAAAATCATTCTGGAAATATCCCACATACAGCAGCAATTAGTTTATTGCTGCCAAGATGAAATCCACATGTATGTGGGTATAGCAAAATTATTTGTTGGTTTTGGATCTCCTATTCATCATTACTCTCATTAGTAATTCAATCTATGAGTTGAGCAAGACACCAGCTAAATATCTAACGACAACTCATTATCATCTAAGTTGCTCGGACGAGGGTGCGGGTGTCCGACACGGGTGCGAATCTAGAGGTCAGATCCTTCGAAATGTAAATTCTAAGATACGAAGATACGGATCCTAGTACAGCTACGGGTGCGGGGATCCGACAAAAAATAATTCGAGAAAATAAAATATAAAATATCTCTAAATTATGAGAAATTTTGTGGAATACTTACGTATAGCTTGTAAAGTGTGGATTTTTTTTAATTCTCAAGTTGAAGATAAGTAAAGGATTGATTTCCTAGATAAGGTATGCTATTCTCTTTAAATTTACCCTAATTTTGATTCTGATTTCGGGAATCAAATTGTATCTCGTCTCGAAATTTTCCATCTGTCGTGGTCAAAGTACCCAAAATTGTTTAACCAGATCCGGTACGGATCCCATTCCCACACCAATACTAGTGTCGTGTCAACACGGTGCGACACCTAAGCTGCCGTGCCGGAGCAACTTAGATTATCATTGCCTCTGGGTCATCGAAGTAAGTCCTGTGCCAATACAATAATAGCAAACATGCTCATTCTTGGTCTCAGTTTAGAGTAAAATGTTTTAATTAGTAAGTTTCATAAAAAATGTTTTAATTAGTAGAAACAAGAATTAGATGGCAGATCACCTGTTCTATGAAGGTATCCTCATCTTCTTGATCTTCCATGTCCTGCCAAGTAGATAAAAAAATATTAGGGTGGAAAGAAGCCACATCATGGCAACCTGGAGTTGAGGCCCAAGGTATACCAGCCTCCCTTCATCCAACCCCCACAAAAATAAGGAAGAAAGGAAAAAAGCTTTTGTGGGAACGCTGATGTAAGCATAAACCTTGCATTCTTTTGATAACCTTCTCTTTGTCTATCAGCTTTACGTTGATCTTATTTCTTAACGTACTTTCTTTTCTCCTGTCATTCCGCAGAGTAATTAATTTGATTTGTTAATTGTTAAGAAGATGAGAGACTTAGCTAGCGTTTGGCCATAGATTCCCATATTTGTTTTGAAAAATCTGATTTGGCTGAAGTTTGGTTTGAAGATGAAAATGTGTTAGGACATATGTTTTCAAAACATATTTCCCAAATTTATTTTGGAAAAACACGTGTATTATGAGGAATTTGGCCCAAAATCAGCTAAATAGGTGGTTTTGGGATTTGGGATTTTGCCAAAATATAGGCAAAATTTATGGCCAAACATATGTTTGTCAAATAAAACCCAAGTTTATTTTGGCAAAATCTATGGCCAAACGGGTCCTTAGTATTTAGCTGTTATTTCCATTGTTAAACTGTATTTGAATAGGCCAACAGTCACTGAGAAATAAGGCTGCCAAACCTAGGCAGCTATCAGCCCAACTAGAGATTTCAAACAAATCTAGCATCATAATTAGTCAAAACTAGAGGCCGGGAATACAAGATGTTACTTATGAAGTTCCTATATATGCAAGCTACCATATAAATGAATCTATCAGGACACAAGAGCTCATACCAGGAATTTCCCAGGACTTAAGACTATAAGCCTAACTGGTTACTTGAACAAGAGAACAACAAATTACTCAACCATATCCCCTCCTATACGGCTATACCTGTGCATGAGAAAGCTCTTGTACTTGTTCCACTGCTCTCAATGGCATACAATCAGTTTGGGCTTTGTATCCAAATGACCCCATCCCAAGTCCTCTCTCCTTGCACACTACCTGCATGAGAGAATTAAGTGGAATAATACGAGAACGTGTTTGTTTAAGAAATCAGACAATTGGAATGTACCTCCCCTGAGCCATAACCACCAAGTTCCTTCTCTTGCTTTTCTCTCTCACTAATCTCCTCCTCACCCCACGAGAATAAGCAAGGAAAAGCTACAGGGGCCGATTCATACGCTGCTCCAACAGCAACACTCTCATAGTAAAATAGCTGAAAACAAATGAAAGAGTCAGTTAACCACTAAATAAATCAGATATAGGCATCTCACGTCATTCACAATTACCTGGAGGAACAAAAGACAGCCCCCAACTGCCCGTTGCTTCCCTTGACGAAAGCGAGATATCTCCCGTACTAACCGGTCAAGCAAGAACTTGCCCCAGTTATACTGATGGAGTACATCCATATTTGTCAAAAAGTGGAGGAAAGAGGGGCTTACGTCCAGCCTTGCAGTTGGGCACACAAGAGTGCCCATTACATAAAGCACAAATGACCTTTTGAAATCCTCCCCAGCTTCCGGAGCTGCAAGTCGTTCCTCCAGAAGACGGACAGAAATCCCACGATTGGTCGCATTGTATTTCTTACGCAATTCTAGAATTAATTCGTCAGACCCTGAGTTCACCACATCTTTCCCACTAGCAGGCAAGCCCATTACAAGTTCCACATCTCTTGGAGTTAAAGGTATCCTCTCACCACAGATTTCCAAGCTGCGTCTTACAGTATTGAACCTTTCCAATAGCCAAAGACACAAGCTTCTTCGAAGAGTTCGACATCTGAGGCCAAGGATGCTACCAAAGCCCATGCTCTTTACGGCCTCCTTCTGGTCCGGCGTGAGCCGTTGCAAGACATTTAGCAAGCGGCCCGGGGAGCACCTCGTAACTAGTTTGGTCTGCATGAGTAAGCCATCAGCATAAGTTAAACATAAAGAAGCCAACAACAATATCCAGCGCTCTTTGCATTACGAGCTCCCTCATCAAAGAAAGAAAAGCCTGGAAGAGGGGGGGGTGACCTGTCTTCTTGGCTTAGGAGGGCGGGCTGGTGTCGAGCTCAGGTACTTATCCCACACTTCACGGGCACGAGTAGTGTACTTTGCCTTTTCTTCAGGACTCATCAGCTTCCATGCATCTGAGGCTGCCTTTGTGGCCTAAAAAATAATGCTCTCACATTAACATGTTCGTGTGTAACAGAGAGGTATACAATGATGCATCTGATAGTGAAAATATAAACATAGATTCTTACAGCTTTCAGGCCTGAAGATTCAGGATGTGTAGCACTATACTCTTTAATAAAGTCACGGCTGAAAACAACATTTTCGATGTTAGCAGAAAATAGTATTTCAAAAGCAGCGGAAAAATAGATAAACAACTCATAATGGATAAGGTATCTACTCATATGAACATGTTACCTGAAGTGCACCCAAGAACAGGCAGGACGAGGATTGGCAACTTGCTTTTTCTTCTTTTTTCTGCTCCCTTCAGGTTCACCAATATCCTGCTCCTTCCTCTTTCCCATTGCATAATCTCTTTCACCAGGCAGCTTAAAATTACAGACGGAAAAATTTAGATATCTATAATACCAATTCACCCTTAAAAAGAACAAGAAAACATGTATGTTAAATCTTCATCAGGACAAGAATGTTAGACGAGTCAAATCAGGAAGATGATAGCAAAGCACATAGATTCAGAAAACTTGAACTCTTTTGACTGTACAGCAAATGAACAAATTCACCACTTCTAAAAAATGCAACCATTATATGCAATGCTGCCCCAAACTACAGCATCAGCTGAAAACATGACTGCACGTTAGACTGCAGTATATGCATACAGATTCAGCAATGTCAGTTTCTTCATACTGTCAATTTCATTAAAAAACAGTGCATCCCATTTTGCGAATGACATGCTATTAGGCCATGTAATGGAGTAAAATATGATGATAGTCCAATACAAAACAGCTCACCAGGGCTGATTCCTGCAATTTGACAGTATATTGTCATTACTTTAAAGACAAGTTCACTTGGACAATTCAAGTGAAATTACCTCATTCTTCTCCAGCTAGTACTCAAAACAAAGCATTCCACTGATTTTGGTGTTGCATGCTAAAGTTGAACAGCTATTTAACACAGACATCACACACACTCTCTCTATACACACCAACAAACTCACACACACCATCACACACACAGAGGAACAGATGGAAACAGACAGAAAGCCAAATGTGTGTGAGTGCGTGTGTGTTTGTGTGTGTTAAATAGCTGTTCGCTTTAGCATGCAATAGAAAAATCACACAAAAAGAGAGAAACTGATAGAGCCAAATGATCAAAAATGATGAATAACAAGTGGATGCTACACTTCGACGAAAACAATGAAACAAAATTCATAGCAACAACACAATGAGGTATAAAACAAAAAATTAAAAAGCAAAATGAAAATGGAAGTGAAATTGAGAATTGAAACCATTGTAATTGTGTGGTGAGGAGGAGAGGTTTCGTTGTTGAGATCAGGTGGAGAAGCCTCAACCTCGACCATGTCGATTTATAGGGAAATCCGAACAACGGATACTAGGGTTCCGGCAGCTATTGAGTGAAGACAGAAGTTGATCGTCGACGAGAGGGGCAAGTTCGTCGGCGTACGGGAATTCAGGCGTTCAGCAATTTTTTGTGCTGATTAGGGTTGTACCTTTAGGTTCTCTGCGTAATTGCTTATTTTTAGTTTCTTTTTTCTTTTTTTACTCGGGAAGAGGAAGGGTACAACCGGGGCACCGGCTTAGCCTGTTTCTTTTTTAAAGAACGGATTAGAGTTTTATGTTTTTATTTTTATTTTTTTTCTTCTGCACTTATTACTCTTTCTATCTCTCATATACATTTGGATAATTAAATTCTGTTACATTATTTATAGTGCTCTTTTTCAGTTAAAAGTACTTGAGGATATTCGTTGTTATTAGAATAAAATGAACATATGAAATGGATAGTAGCATAGCTTGACAGATTAAGTTAAATCTATTATTTTAATGTATATGTGAAATTAGGGGTGTACAAAGGGAATCGATAAACCGCACCAACCCGATATTCGAGTCAAACCGAGAAAAGAAACCCGACTATGGTTTGGTTTGATTTTGTTTGGTGTTGAGAAAAAAAACCGACCATTATTGGTTTGGTTTGGTTTTAACTAAAGAAAGTCAAACCGAAACCAAACCAACCCGACATTACATATATAGATATTTTAGATATATTTAATATATAAATATATTTATTGTGATGTAATGTATAAATATTTCTTAAAAAATTCTTAATCTTATCTTTTAAGGTATTATTTCAAGGTTGGACTTAGAACTTTTAAATGTTAATTCCAATAAGTTTTATAGCCATTAACATTAGTAAATTAAATAATGCTAACAAAAGCCCAAACAAAAATTAAATCAATACTAATGCTAACAAAAGACATTCAATTCAATACTACGAACGTGAATGTATTGAATATCTATTTTTCGTTTTGCAATAATTTAGATAAAAATGCATAACCTATTTTTATTTTTTCTTGTTTAGTCACGTAATTAATACTCCCTTATTAGTCTACTTATTTTAGCATGACTTAGTACTTTTAGATTATGTTTATTTTTATTATGGATTTTTAATTAGCAATATTTATATTACACAATTTTATTGTCTATTGTTTAATATTTTAGGATAATGTCATGACACATCTCATATTTTGTATTATTTTCTTGGAAAATACTTTATATAGTTGTATCTTACTAGGATTAAAGAAATATTTTGAGAACAATTTATATGTTTTGTTCTACGAAGATTTTACCGAAAAAACCCGAATAATCCGAAAATCCGAGAAAACCCAAGAAAACCCGAGAGTGAAAAACCCAAATTTTATTGGTTTGGTTTGGTTTGGTTATTAGATTTAATAACTCGACACAATTGATTTGATTTGGTAATTGTAAAATACGAACCAACCTGACCTATGTACACCCCTATGTGAAATCACTAAAAATTTAATAAATTTTAACTTTTGAACCTATTATTTTAAATACACAAATGAGTTATGTATTAAGAACATTAGCACTAAAACCATTGAGTTTAAATTTAATCTCGCCTTTGACAGTAAATATAAATTATTCATATTATAGACAAAATTCAATTCGGGATGGAGATAAGACGTGCTATTTGTACATCATGCCTCTTTACAATTTTAAATTTAAAAAAAACGAAGTTTTTAGATCTTTTAATCTCTCATGTGTATAAAAAGAGATAGGTCATAAGAGTGACTAAATGATCGTAGTCAAATAAAATATTGTTGAGCTCCCAAAGTAGTACAGTAGGGGAGTATTCTTTCACAATAAGGACTTTAATCTTATGTGATTAATAAGAATATTTCACCGAAACTACATCCCCTTCTCCTTTTTTGTTTTTTTATTAGTACTAGTATTATTTTTTAAAACATATTTGACATTGTATTGCATTGTCCTTTCACTTGTGGGTCCCCCTCATCAAGAACAATGATCAATGCCATTAGAGTAATTTTTTACTAGTGTACTTGTTTTTTGTTTTTTTTGTAGAATCAAATGAGAACCTCCTCTTCTCCCTTTGTCCAACTGCTAATGGTTTAAATATTCTCTTAATTACAATTAGGGATGGCAAACGAACGGGTCGAAAGTGATTAATGAAAAATGAAAAACGGATAAATTATCCGACCCGACCAATATTTAATAGGAATAAAAAATGAATTAACCGGCAAATAATATGAGTCAATGACGTCTTGAATATGATCGCTGGGTTAGTTGTTTTTATTGGAGTATAAGCAAGATGCAAATCAGAGCAACGCATAACAATGTACTATGAAGTAGAAGATGCCAGATATCAGGGACTACGAGAAACAAGGAGTTCAAATCTCAGCATAAACTTCAATGATATGCCCTATCTTCCTATTGTCTAAGGCTTTATTTACAGAGCTACTCGATAATTATGTTGGTGGGAGATAACAAGCACCCGATAAAATAATCGGGGTACGCCACAACACGGCCAAGACATCAAAATGGCATACAAGAGGGACAAATCTATCCCAAGTAACAAATATACCATACTCTAGCATTATGTGAAAGAGCCTCTCAAAAGAAGGGAGAAAGTTAAAACAAAACAACAAACGCAAATCCCACAAAATAGTAGCACAGACCCAATAACTCATGCCATAAAATGTCTGGAGAAGTTACAAGGCAATGTTACATTAACAGGCCAAGGCATAATAAAACATAAATGAATATAGTTCTTTTTCATCTAGGATAAAATTTTATCATGAAAATATGATACATCAACATCTGCAACTACTTTAAATAGCGGAGGCGTATTCAGCCCGTTTTATGAAGACATCCAGCTTCAACTTAGTACTGGAATCAACGACATCTATTGGGACCAGAAGGAACTTCTTCAGAGGAAGATTTTGTGAAAATTTTGGCATGCTCTCTGCAACAGATTCTAGTTTAAAAGAGCTCTCCCCATTCGTTACTACAAGCTCATAACGGAACCTTCTCTTTTCTGAGGTTGGTTCAATACAGATAATATTGACAGCACTTCCAAGACGGTAACTAATATGATTGATGATAAAAATTATACCTTGAGTCCTCTCTTGAAGATATTTGCAAGTATGATGATATTCTACATAAATGGGATGGTGAGCGTCATAAACGATTTGCTCCACCAAAGAACCATGTTTGACACGAAAATGAGCATATACCTTTGTTGAAGCAGCCGTAAAGTCGCAGCAAGGACATGTACAAGGGTCATAGGTGCATGCATTTTCATGGTCAGTTTTGTTACCATAACTCAGAATCTCCTTGCAACCATAGATCTTGTTCATGCATGAGACTTTCACAGATTCTAGAACCTTCTCAATAGCTCGACAACGGTTATATCCAATTGGCCAACAACATGATGGACACTTATTAGCAATCTTGATGCAGCAAGAGGCACATGCTATGTGCCCATTCTCACACTATATTTAAGGCCAGAAAGGGAAATGAAATGTCAGAAAATATTCTTAGTAAGCAATTTGGATATTTGCAGATGCCAGCTCTACTGTTAAACTTCAAGGTTTCTAAAAGTACACAGCTCTAGAAGTAGGGGGGGAAAGAAGCATTTTGTATTAGCAATTGATACAACCCAAGTCATGGTCTTAATTTGTTGCTAGGTTCAAAAGGCTCTATACATGCACTTAAACTTCAATAGTTAGCCTTTCCTGTTATAGCTTTTGTGACATCCCTAGAGCCATTGCCTTATTCTTGCTTAGTTCAAAAGGCTCGATAATTTCTTTTAGACAGGCTCATGCATTAAAAGTCCATAAGCTGTTGGATTAACCACAAATTGAACACCATAAGTTATATTCTACCTTAGACTAAAAACTGCGTATTGCTGTTCTGCAACTCTTAAACAAAACAGTCAGGAATTAACCACCCTGGCAGGGAAAAGGACATAGATTTCTGAGTCAGAATCTCAGTCCTTTGTATGCCTTTCATTGCAGTAACTACATTTAAAATCCGGTCTTATCAGTCAGCATAAGATAAGAGTTCTAAAAACAGGCCTAGGTACATTACTTCTATCACCATATATCTCCAACAAAAGAATACTAAACAGTTACAGACTTCAAACACTTTGCTTACTGGATTTCACAGTTTAGCTGCCTTGAATTTCTAAACAAGCACCAACGGATCCACATAATCTGTAAGAACTTAAGATAAACCAAGTTCTTAATCTTTTTCTTAAGAAATGCTGAAAGTGTAACCTGCTTTGACTGGACTTCTGTTATCAATAAGAGCTGATATTTCTAGAGTAAAAACTCCAGCACCGCCAAATCATTTGCAAGAACAGAGCTTCATGATAAAGTAACTTAACCCTAGACTTAAAAAAATAAACAATGTATCTGGGCTTGTATTGCAAGGGGTGATAGAGAGGCAAACATATTTCCATGGAGGAGAAACAACTTTTGAGCTAGCCGACATAAGTGATGTCTGCTCAAACAGATACATGCTAGTAGAAAGAGGAAGGAGACCAACTACCAGAATAAAGGTAGTTGAAGACAATCTGAGATGGCTTTGTGATGCTTTCAAGCATGTGCAGTAGGACAATAGAGCCTGTGCAGAAAATTGAGTAGAAAAGTGAAAATATACATAGTGATTCGTAACTTTAATATTTTTGGCAGATATGTCTGAAATCCTGGTGAGTGAGAACAGATCGGCCGTGATCATTCTGGAAATTGACACAAATGTGGGTTACTTGGATGGATTCCGCCAGTCGAGAGTTTTGGAAAAATCTACTGGGGAAAGGAATTGGGCAGAACAAACGCCTCCCATAAGACCTACAGAGAGGCAGCTACTATTCAAAAATAGCCGGAGAAGGAGATCAGAGTCTCCACAGTGGCGGGGATACTGCAGCGGAAAGAAAAGAGCACCTAGCAAAATGTTTGGCATGGCACTTAACGGCCACTTTGGTACGTTTCCCATATCCCACAGTGATTCAAAAGTGGTTTCAACGCCAAAGGAAGACCCCAACAGACATAAGTAATGGAGAATGCAACTTAGTTTATAACTATTTGAGATTCCATCAAAAGTTGAGGCTGTACACATTAAAGTAGAGGAATGGTTTCAGAAAGACAGAAGACTATCCCTAGAGAATGGTAGTTGCAACTAACAGAAACCTCCAACTCGAAGGGAGGACAAAACTTGGAGAATAGATGAATTAGAGCACCGCATCCTACTGTATTTCTGTTCAGATGAAATTCTGAGAGTGTTTTAAAGTTAGATGTGGTGGATTAGTCGGAATAAATGTGGAAAGAAGAAGAACCCCATTATTGACGGGCATGCACTTGTATTATCTAATCAGAGAGGAACCCGCTTGATAAGCTTGAAATCAAAGGCCAATTAGCCATGCGATGCAAAAGAATTTAACCTGCCACAGATACTGGTTGAACCTGCCTGCAGGTAGTCAGTAATCTACCTACTTTTAAGTGTGGTTTTATACTCCATCACATACCATTGCTTCCTCTAACTTGAAAGAAACAAAGACCTATACCGGCAAGTTAAACTCCAGGTTGAATGAAATTTCATAACTTTGAACTACATATATCCCACAAGATGACATAATCACTAAAGCAGTCATCCTTCTGTCAGCAATTCTCCCAACTAAACGTTTTCAAAAGGTTCAGTTTTTATATGCTTTGTCACTGTAATGCACTTTTTATTGTGCAATGCCTTTTCAGTGCAATACTATGTTAACCATTTCTCAAATAAGTTATTAAAACAGGTAACTTTTACACCTCTTTTAGAGCAATGAATCAACTGTGCCTCAATCCCAAATCAGTGAGGTCAGCTTATAAATCCCATTACAATTTCGCTCTACTAGTTTTTTTTTTACTTACTTTTCTACTAAAAATAGACATGGTCTGGTCTGCCTCTTTTTGAGAGAAGATTTTATACCCCCACCTGCCTATGAAGAACGTCAAGTCTATCGGGAAAGGATATGTTGGTAAGACCAGCAGTTTTGTCCAGAACCGGGCATGCCTTTATTCAAATTTAATTCCAACAAAAACAACAACAACAACAAACCCAGTATATACCACATAGTGGGGTCTGGGAGGGTAAGTGTATACGCAGCCTTACCCCTACTGTATGGAGATAGAGAGGTTAATTCCAAAAAATAAAATAGAAAAACTTTGAGCACTCTACTTTCATAAACCCCTTAACACTTAATAATTAAAGGAATACCTTGGAACTAGATTCTCTTTGTACGCTATCTATGCTAATCGTCTTAGTTTCCTTCAATTAAATCAATAAGCTTTTGATTGATTCAGGGTGGCGCAAGGCTTTCTTCGTGAAAAAGCTCGTCCTTGTCAATTTAGAACTGTCTTTCATTCTGTTTTTACTTATTTTTTAAAAATCTCTCATTTTGATTGGCTTTAGTGGTTTGCAACCACTTCTAAGTAGGCGAAATGTACAAATAGTAGCGGAGAACGAGCCGAATTTAGCAATGAAAGTGAAAAGTAAGCAAAAAATTCTGAGAAAATCCATTTCCTTCCCAAACATTTTAGGGCAAATTAAGAATTCTCTAGATCTCACAATTATCATATATATACAGAAATATATCATATATACACAGAAATAAAGGACGATAGTAATGGATAAGGTAAAGAAGAGAGACCTGAAAGACAGGAGTACTGAGAGGTTCAAGGCAGATGGGGCAATCCAACACATCCGGATCCGACAACGTCACAGAAATCGACCCGTTTACTCTCGAACCCTCCAAATCACGATCCGGATTCAATACTGCCACAGCATCAGCAGACCTATTTAAAAAAGGATCTGGAATTCCCTCGGATTCGGGTTCCGATTCCGGGTTCCAATCCTCCTCTTCTTCTTCTCGCTCTTCATCAGTTACAAAATCCTCCTCTTCATAAATATCCTCCTCCTCTTCCTCCTCTTCTTCTTCTTCAATAGCCGTTTCTTCAATTTCACAACGGCGTTCTGGTTCTTGTTGTTCTTGTTGACGATTAACGGCGGTACAGGAGAAAGTGCCGCCGTAAGTTCGCCGTTTCTTGGGAACGGGTCGGCTACTGGGTCCTTCTTCGTTATTATCATCTTCTTCTCTTCCCAATGAAAATCTCACCATTTTTTCTTCTCCTTCTTCTGACCTAATTTGGCAAGAAGATAATGCCCTATGGTTCACTCGTTTCATTTTGTTTCTTTTGAGGAGAAACGAGTTAACTCAGCTCTACTCGCTCACTCGGTTTTCTATTTTTTATTGTTAATTTCTCCCAGTTATATTTAGGGATCTTATATTTATACCTAGCTTTTTTACTATATAAAAGGAAATTTTTTATTTTTGCTTTGTTAAACATGGAAACAAAATCGAATTGGGAAATGTGAAATTTGAAATTTGAAATTTGAATGCTGCACCGGGATTTACTGCAAAAGACTTGTTCGTTACAATCTCTCTCTTTTTTTCAAGTATTTTTAGATACGTTTAACTATATAAAAAATTACTATATTTTGTAGTAGTACTCACTCTTTATTTAATCTTTGTTAATAGCTCTTTTGGTGCCTTAATTATTAAAAATTCTAATTTTATTCTTGTGATATTTGACTACATATATTTAACCTTCAATTACTTGAAATGTACACTTTTAATTCCTTTGCTTATGAAAATTCACAATTTTTTTTCTAGAAATATTGATTTTTCCACCATTTAATTGCGCATGTGTTATGTTAAGTTTGTACTATTACTCTATATTTGAGGGAAACATACTTGTAAAATAGTCTAAATATAATATATTTCCTACATAAAAGGACCAAAAGAACGTACATTAATCAATTGAAGGTTGAATGTGTTGAGTCATGTTTAACAATGACCAAAATTAAACTTTATCAGTAATTGAGGGACACAAATGCTATTCACAAATAAATAGGTACATTTAATCTCCATAAATCAAGAAATCAACATCCATTAAAGTAAATTTAATTTCGTTGATTCTGGTCAGAATCCCATCATTCTTTTTGGAGAGGAGGAGAGAATAACATATCAAGAAAATTGCGTAATTAAAAGCGCCTTTATAAAAAGTCACCAAGACTGTGATATTGTATTTTCTTACTCATGTTTATGTTATTTTTAAGTTGCAAAAGAACGTTGAGCGAAATGCATCACGATTGTTGTGAATTGCTACATTTTACATTTTTATGACATCTTTAGAAAATAAATAACAAATCCGAGACATTCTTATTTTGCTAGTTATGAACAAAATCTTGTAGATCCCTGTAGAATACTTTGCATTGCCTGTTCTAAGGATATCATCTTCACTTGGAATGGTTAAGTAGTTGTGCAAGTGATATAAATCTTGTCCAAATAAGTTATGCTGTGTTACCTAACATATAGGTACTGAGTAACTCTATTGTGATCGTGCTTCGACTATTGTGTTGATATCTGCTACCTTCCACCAATATAAGTACCAAATAACTCTATTACCAAGGCTTATACAGATAAAAAAACAAATAGTAAAATTTTGTTTTTACTGGAAATTAAACTCTGGTCTCCAATGATTTTCATCCTACTACTTCATTGACCAATTCTAGCACTAGCATAACAATCTCAAACATAGTGAGGAATAGCCTTTCAAAAGAAGGGACAAAGTAAAAATAATAGCACGAATGCAGATTTTTTTTTCTGCACAAAAAGAGATATTATATAATGGTTATTCATACATCAACAAGTTTGGGATTACTCTACAATACTATACTTCATCCCCTTCTTGTCTATTACATATTGCTTCATCACAAAAGGGTGAGGAGATTCATGATAGATAGCATCCAAAAAGTTGAGCCATATGCTCGCATTTGCTAGACAATCTGCTAATGCAGATCTCCAAATAGCAGCATCGACAACATAACTTGCATCAACAGACCAACTACAGAGTAAAACATGAACGAAAAGTTCTTCAGCCAGATAAGATTTCATCATAATAATATGTACATCAATATCTACTACTCCTTTCTTAAACAGTGCTACCTCAGAAGATGTATTCACGCTCTATGAAGACCTCCAACTTCAACTGAGCGACTTCTCTTTCTTCGAAAGAGAGAGTGGAATCAACCAAATCTCTTGGGAGCAGAAGATATTTTTTCAAAGGAAAATTTTCTGGCCATTTTGGGACGTTCTCTGCAATGGATCCTAGTTTAAAAGTGCTCTCCCCATCTGTTGCTACAAGCTCGTAACGGAACCTTCTAGTCTGCAAAGCTGGTCCAACACAGATAATGTTGACAGCACTACCAGGATGGTCTTGAGTAGAATGATTAATGATAAAAATAATTCCTTCTGTCTTTTCTTGAATAATTTGGTAAGTTTGATTTTTTTCAATATAAATGGGATGGACAGTGTTGAAAAAGATGTGCTCTGCCAAAGAACCATGTTTGTCACGAAAATGTGCATATAACTTTGTAGAAGGATCCACAAAGTCACAGCCATCGTAAGGACATGAACAAGGCGCATAGATGCATGCATTTTCATGGGCAGTTTTGTTACCATAACTCCGAATCTCCTTGCAACCAAACCTCTTGTTCACGCATGAGACTTTCACAGAGTCTAGAACCTTTTCAATAACTCGACAACGGATATATCCAATTGGACAACAACATGATGGACACTTATTAGCAATCTTGAAGCAACAAGAAGCACATGCTATGTGCCCATTCTCACACTGTTTAGCCCAGAAAGGAAAAAGAAATACGTCAGAGAACATATCTTCGTAGTAAGCAGTTCGAATGTTTGCAAATGCAATCCGAATTCACGTTGCCCACTGCTAAATTTTATGATCACTAAAAGTACACAGCTTTAGAAATAGGGAAAAAGAAAAATGCTCTTCGTATTAGCATTTGTTGTACATGGCCTTAACTTCTTGTTTGATTCAAAAAGCTCAATACATGCACTTAAACTTCAACATTTAGCCTCTCATATTATTAACAGTTGTTACATCCCTAAACTCATGATGTAAAGTTCTGGCTTAGTTCAAAAGGCTCAATAATTTCTTTTACACATGCTCAAAACAGTAAAAAGTTTGGTATACTGTTGCATCATAGCTACAAACTGATCACCACTATATATATATCGAAAAAAAAAAACCTATAGTATATCTGTTCTGCAACTCTTAGACAAAACAAATAGAATTAGCTATCCTGGCAGGGAAAAGTGAAGGCAAAAAAGACCTCAACCACACTTATAGGACTCTCCAATACTGTTAAAGAATGAGGGAAACAGTGAGCAAGTTGTAAGAGGAAATTTAACAAACACTTGCTAGGCAGAAAGTTCCTTAAGTTTAGTACTACAATGCATAATCAGTAGCGCAGCTAGTGATTTCAACTGAAGAGAGAAACTTCAGGCCAAACAACTCCAAAAACAATAGTAAAGGATAGGGTAAGAAGATACCTGAAAGACAGGAACGCTGAGAATTTCGACGCAAATGGGGCAATCCAACACATCTGGATCAGATAACGTCATGGCAAGTGACTTGTTTCCTCTTGAGTCCTGATCCAAATCAGGATCTGCGTTTCCTCTTGCCCCCTCCAACTTATCACGATCATTTGAGTCCGATAATATCTTGCCCCCTCCTTCTCCACCATTGTATTCCCATCTTCTCCTCCACCTCCAGAGAGTGGCGGCCGAAGTTCTCCGTTTTTTGGGAACGGGTCTTGTGGTCCAACTGCTTCCTTCTTCGTTACCATTTTCATCATCTCTTCCCGGTGAAGATTTTGCCATTTGCTCAAACTTTATTTTTCTTCTTCTTCTTCTTTTGTAATAGTTTTTGTAATAGTTGCTCGTCTGTACGATGAACTAGGGAACAAAGGCGGGAAGCTGAAGTTATTGTGACTCGCTAAGGTAAGTGAGAGGACAGCTCGGATCTGGACCAAGTGAGGTGCATAAAAGATGATGATTGCAAAGTTTCGAAGGGGATGACCAAATTAAGAGAGGTCTTTCATAAACTTCTAAATGAAAAATGGGATCATGATATTGTACTAGGTAAATTGAGGAATGCCGACAGTCCCCATGAATTAAGTTATTGTAGGGACATGGAGGTCGATGAGGTCACGGAGGCAATGTGTAAGATGAGAAGGGGCAGAGCTATCGGGCCAGACGAAATTCCGGTTAAACTTTGGAGGTGTGTGGGTATAGCAGGTTTGGAATGGCTTACTGGGTTATTTAATATTATATTCAAGACTAATAGGATGCCTGAAGAGTGGAGGTGGAGTACAATGGTTCCGTTGTATAAGAACAAAGGCGATATCCAGAGCTGTAACAACTATAGGGGGCGTAATACATACGGAGACACCTAAAGTTGGCACGATCTTTCACTTAGACACCTAAACTAAGCCTCTTTCCAATTACACACATTTCTTAGGCAATTCTCATACCAATTAGACACGTTTTTTGCTGGCTTATTAATTAACCAAGTGTTCTGCAATCTCTGTCTACGTGGCAAAAGTAACCATTATAAATCGTGTCACATCATTTTTTGTCCACCTCAGCTATATAGTGTTATTTCCACTAAAATACAAATAACTAGCCCTAAACAAACGATCTAAACGTATTACCACCATTCCTTTTACCATCGATGAAAACGAAGAAAGGTCCTACCACTGTTAAGCTTCTTCTTCTTTTGGTCAATGGTGTTGGAATCTAGTATTTCCACTGATTTATCACCGTATTTACAACGCTTCAAGGTCCAATCTCTCCTTATTTTCTATTGCTACAGCTAGGGCTTTTTATTTGTAAGTTATTGATAAAGCTAGGGTTTTTCTGGGGTTTTCCTTTGTGTTGGTCCCTTGTCGTCTTATGTAAGGGAACATTATGGAGGATGACTATATTTAACTCGCTTTCACCACAGGGGTACATTTATCGAGCAACCTATCCCAATATACAAAGGGGAATTAGATGCCTTTGTTGTTGCTATCGATAAAGACCATTTTAGTGTTGTCGAGTTGTCTGCTTATGCTAAAGATCTTGGGTATGCAGCTGTCAAAGGGTTTTATTGTCAAAAGGAAAAAGATGGTGATTTTATCAAAGTCTTTTCTGATTTTCAATTATATGAATTTGTGAAGGATTTAAAACATGGTGATATTTTGGATGTTTATTTGCGTCATGGGGTGAGTCATCCTGAAGTAGTCGAAGAAAATGTTGGTCTTTTATGTGGGGCAGAAGTATGTGGGGGTGGTAATGACCAATTTAAAGCTAGGGCAATTCCTGGGAGTAATACAAATACTGAAGAACCTATTGAGCCGTCTACTGACCCAACTCACAATGTTGTTGAACCACATATTGAGCCGCCTATTGAACCAACTTTGAATGATGCTGAACCAACTCACAATTTTTCTGAACCAACTGTAAATGTTGTTGATGGAGATGAACCACCAGACCATAATCTTAATGAAGGTGGAGTGCAATCAGATGTTGAGAGTAGTGAATCAGAAGAAGATGTTCTTCCTGAAGAAGATGATTCAGATGTTGATGATGAATTGAGATCTTTAAGGGCTGAAAGGAGGAGCAAGAAGCAGGGTAAGCAGAGGAAAAAACCAATTGCAATAGATGAGATACCACTAGGAGAAGCAGGTATTGAAAGGGGATTTGAGGATATTGGAAGAAACAAGACTTCAAGATATGTAGGTAAATTAGGTGGTGATGAGCAGTTTATTGATAGTTCAGAGGCTGATAGTGAAGATAGCACAGATGAGTTAGATCCTGAAGCTATTCCTGGTGTTGATATACCAGCAAGAAGGAGGAGTACAAAAGTTAGGTATGATCCTGATTGTAAAGTTGCTACATTTGAACTTGGGATGATTTTTGAGAATGCTATAGAGTTTCAGAAAGCATTAGCAAATTATGCAATTGAGCACAAGGTACAGATTAAATTGAGACCAAATGGACCGCATAGGGTGAGGGCTAAGTGTAAATCACAGAGATGCAAATGGGTGTGTTATACTTGTATTGATAGACATTCGGGTGATTTTAAAGTAAAGAACTACTACCCAGTACATAAATGTGATATTTCAAACAAGAATAAGTTGTGCACTTCAAAGTTTGTTGCAAAGAAATTCAGAGATGAAATAACTAAGCAGTCCCACATAATGATATGGGAAATACAGGAGTTGTGTAGGGACAAACTAGGATTGTATGTTGGCATGACAATTTGTTATAGGACTAAACTACGTGTTCTTAGAGAGTCCATGGGTGATTGGAATATGGAATTTTCAAGGTTATGTGATTATGCTGATATGATAAGACAGACCAATCCGGGTAGCTCATGTTGGGTAAGGATGGACAGTGAAACTGAGCCAGGAAAAAATCTCATTGTTTACTTTTATGTGTGCTTTGATGCATTGAAGAAAGGTTGGTTAGAAGGATGTAGAAGAATCATAGGTTTTGATGGTTGTTTCTTAAAGAGTGCTTGTAAATGTGAGTTTCTAGTTGCTGTTAGCAAGAATGGAAATCAACAAATGTTTCCTATAGCATGGGCATTTGTGGACCAGGAGACAAAACATAGCTGGAGTTTTTTCATCAACTACTTGAAAGATGATTTGCAATTGGGAACTAGAGAAGGATTGACTGTGATGACAGATATGCAAAAGGTAAGTATTATGTTATGTTGTCTCTTAAGTAGTCTATTAAGTAATTTTGGTATTTGTTGTTCATTAATGTGATATATTCAGTTGTTAAGTACTTAAGTATTCTGTTATTTTGTTAAGTAATTAAGTATTTTGCTGCTGTTAAGTAATTCTGCTGTTAAGTATTCTGCTATTGTAGTAATATGCTGCTGTAATTTGAATTAATTATTGTGTAGAGATTTGCTGCAGCTTTGAATGAAGATTTACCCAATGCTGAATTTAGGATATGTGTCAGGCATATTTGGTCTAATTGGCATAAGAAATAGAAAGGAGAGAAAAGGAGAAAACAGTTTTGGAGGTGCTCAAAATCTAGTTATGAAATTAAGTTTAAAGAGGAGCTTGAGAAAATGGACAAACTTGGTAAGGATATTTGTAGGGATTTGTTATATTATCCAAAAAAAGTCATGGGTTAGAGCTTATTTTGAAGTGCATTCCAAGTGTGATGTTGTTGAAAATAATATGTGTGAGACCTTTAATTCATGGATTTTAGCTTCTAGGCATAAATCAATTATAACTATGTTGGAGGAGATTAGAAGGAAAATAATGACTAGGCAAGTGAATATGTTGAAATTTGCTGATACTTGGATATCTGATATATCACCTATGGCAAGGCTATTGTTAGAGGATAGCAAAGAGCTTGCTAGAAAATGTATTGTCATTTGGAATGTTGATGTTGGATTTTGAGATTGGAGAAGAACTGCATAAGCATGTAGTTAATCTGACTAATAAGGTTTGCACTTGTAGAGCTTGGCAGTTGAGGGGTATTCCATGTCAACATCTTGTTCTTGCCTACTATCACATAAACAAAGAACCTGAACAGGCGGTGGAGCATTGGTATAAGAGGGATACCTTCTTAAAAGCATACAAGTATTTCATCCAGCCTATGACAAATATGAAGATGTGGCCTGAAACCAACAATCCTAAGATAGAGCCTCCCAAACCTAAACCCATGCTTGGTAGACCTTAGAGGAATAGAAGAAAAGGCAAAGATGAACCAAAAAAGAAATATGAAAAGTTGTCCAAGTGTGGAGTGAAAAAGACATGTTCCAAGTGCCATCAACAAGGACATAACAAAAGATATTGTAAGGTAAATGTTTCTTGTCAAATATTTCATATTGCCATCACATGTTTCCTGTTGTTCATATGAATCTAGTATTCTGTTTCCATCACTGTTATGTGATCTGTTGCTCAATGTTATGTAGGCTGAAAATTGGATGCCTTCACAGCAAGGTAGCCAAAGCTCACAAGGTGCTAGCCAACCTGATGTAGCTGGAAGCTCAAGCCAACCTACAAACTCTGTGTTTTGATATAACAAGGGTTAGAAGGATTAATGAAGCTAGAATCTCAAGCCAACCAACACGAAGTTCAGCAGATTCGATCAGGCCTACTAAAAGAGGATTAGGTAGTCAACTTCCTCCAAAGGGTAAAGCAACTACCAGCCAAAAGAGAGGAAGGGGTGCAAGTAAAGAAGATGCTGAAAAAGGAGCACAAAAAGGTCCAAAAATATTGGATTTGGCATCTACACAGCTGCAAGTGGAACTCAAATACTAAATGTATATATTCATACATATTTCATCTATAATATGACTTAGAAATAACTTACTGATTGTGGTTCATTATTTGGCAAACTACATCCCGGAACATCAAGTCAACGAGTTATTGTAAGTGGTTCAACTTATAAGAGTGCAACTCCAATAGGAATTGACCTTGGTTTTAAGTCTAGAGGCTTGAGGTGGAAGGATCAAGATGCTGTCACAACTTCCTAGTTGCAGCAGATGAAGGCAAACTTCAGCAATAAGTAGTATCTTAGGAACTTATTTTGTCTATATGTTATGTAGCAGCAACCTATTATATTTTGGGATCTAGTTTTTGAAAGAACTAAACTTTAATGGTTGTATTCAGTCGTGTAATCTTACTGTTCTATTTTGGATATATGTTATGTAGCAACAACTTCAGCCTTATTTTGTTTGTTTTGGCAGAATAGTTACTCTATGTTCTGAATAATTAGTCTATATAGCAGCAACTTCAGTCTATATGTTCTGAATTTTGAAACTGCATCTTATGGTTCTATGCCTTGTACAGAAGTTGTATATTATAACACTTTCAAAATTCAACAGCTGGAGGATGGTGGAACAATACAGGGATAAGAAAAATAATCTCCACATGGTATTTATTGATCTACAGAAAGCGTATGACAAGGTTCCTAGGGAGGTCTTATGGAGCTTCTTAGAGGTTAAAGGGGTCCTGGTTGCCTACATTAGGATGATTAAAGACATGTATGATGGAGCTAAGACTCGGGTTAGGACAGTAGGAGGCGA